CTCTTTCTAGAAGAGTGTAGTGATGAAGAGGCTGAAGATGGACTCTATTCCTTAAGACCTAAATTGGAATTTAGCTCATCTTTTGAAAACGGCAAAATACAGCAGGAGCAATGCCACTAAAAAATAAGTAGAACTGAGCTGTGTGGTTGCTGAAACACATCTTAAACCAGCAAGATACCGCTGAAAAGCTCAGAGGTGCTGAGACTGTGCCACTTTTTTGATACTGACTCACACAACAGATAGGCTATTTATCATGTGCTGATGTTTTCTCAACAGTTTTCAAAGGTTAAGTAGATTTTGAACCAATTCATGTTGCTCTGACAATCTTATGAGAACAAAAATTAAAAGAACACAACTGTAACTACTGTCCAAAAAGTTTGCTCAGGGTTTAGCGTCAGACCCCATATACTGCAGTACAGATTTTTAGATGGCAATAGGCAACTGTTTCTGGAAGCTTCAGTCATGCTGCTGTAGTTGACAAAAGTGATTTTATTTAAATAACCAAGAAGACTTAATACATATTTTATTGAGCACTTCAGAAGACAACAAGAGATTCACTGCAGCAAGTCATATTTTTAAATACAAAAGGGGAATTAGTAAAAAGTTAGGTTCATATCCAGCATGAAACATGAACACATTGCTTTCAGGAGCTTTGAGTTTTAAAGACTGAGAACTCTACTTACACCAAACAGTTCAAACACATCCACATTATAAAATCCTAGTATTGCACTATAGCTCTCCGTTAAAAATGCACAATGTGTGTCTGCACTACCCACGTACAAAGGACCATCAGCAACACATCCACACAGCCAGACAGACTCTAGACAAGGTCAGAAGCGTGGTAGGTTTGCTGGGAGAAGTGTGGCAGGAAAACTGAGCCGTTTGGACCACCAGTATCCAAACCAAGCCCTGTTTCTCGCTGGTAATGCAACAGACATGAGGATTGCAGCTCTGCTACTGTCCTGTACAGAGGTAGCATAATACTATGGCTTTCAAGACTTTCTTTTGAGTAAGGCTTGTCTTAGCTGAAAGCCATATAGTAACAAAGAGTTCTTGTAAAACCAACACAAAGTATAGTATGGCAGAACTTAAGGATCCACCTCTTCAACAACAGCTGCCAAATTCAAGTAGATCTCTTTGAAATCAGCTGCAGCACACAAACAGGTCTGTGCAAAGGTGGCAACTTCAATTGCTTCTTTCCCCCCCTCATCTTCGGCTGTATGGAGAATGCTAACAGTCAAGAACGCAACAGTGGGTGACACAGATGAATGGAAAATGAAAGTCCTACCTAGCTATAAAAGAGGTACCACTTTGGCTAAAAAGACTACTTGGAGGAGATGGCAGGCAAAACATTTCAGTTACATGGACAACACGGAAAAACAAGTGAGTATGTAACATCTGTGAACGATACACCCTGCTGCTGTGGTGATTAACCCCCCACCCACCTCACCTTGTAGCTACAATTCAAGACAAAGCTCACGTTAATGTTAACTGAAGGTAGAGGTCCTGGGCAGGGGGACGATGGTATTAAAGCTGCATGCTACTCTCCCCCAGCAGTACAGTAACAAACCAGGACAGTTTTCCAATTTACAAACACACACACCCCCTTTCTTTTGTCTGTTCCAACCCACTTCAGCATCTTATCTCTAATTAAATCACAGGGTGTGTGGGGAAAACAACCTTTCGCCTTACACGTACCTCCCGGTACCTTACACGTACCTCCCGGGTGCTCAGCTCTGCCGAGGCACCGAGGTGCTACCGTAATACACGTAAGACGGTCTTCTCCAGCGCGTTGTGGAAAACAGCACAACTAGTATTGCATTTGATACTACAAACATGTTGTAACAAATTCCACACATGCAAACTTCTACAAACCATTACAAGAATGGGACCAGCTTCACTGATCTTCAGTCCAACCTCCAAGAAGGATTTGTTAGTCACGGCTGCGAGAACAACTGACAAACAGAAGTTGCGCCAACGTTCAGCTTACATACCATTACATGGTGTAAAAAAGTGTTGAGACATTATTAATTTAAGAATACATAGAAAATACAAAATCCCTAGCATTTACAGTACCCCCTTACACTGAGCCTGTTCGTAGTTTCTTTCCATCGGTGCCCAGTAGCTAATCCCAGTCATCAACGCTGCGATGGCTAACCGACACACCTCGGGCTGAACACATCAACCTCCGTGTTTCCTGCGAACACACAGCCAGTATCAGTGGCCAGCCACCACCTGGTAACAGACTAACCAGACTCATTAAAAAAACCCAATAAATCACTCCCTTTTCCAGGGCAGAGAGCCCCAAGACGCCCCACTCAAACCCCAGAACTGAGACGGCCGCTGCCAGCAGAGCAACACTTGAGAATGCAGCGTGGCCATCATCTCCTGTTGTTACCTACAGGGTCACGTCTCCCATCCCTGCAGAGTACAGCGTTACCTCTTCCCTGCCGCCAGCTTCAATTGCAGTTGACTGTTACTCAGGATAGAAATTTTTTGTTCTTCTTGTTCCTTGTGTTGGTTTGGGGTTTTTTAAATAAATGAAGTCTACAACATGCTTTTTCAGGTACGTGATTGCTGATTGTTAGACAAGTAGTTTGTAAACAGTTTGGCCTCTGGGGAACTGTCAGGCTGCCGAGACAGCCCTTCCAAGAGCAGCACCTTGTGTTGGGCGCAGCGGAGGTGGAGGAGAAGCCCTCCCGCAGTGCACAGCTCCTGCCCACCGCGCTGGCAAGGCGTCAGCACGAAGAATCTATAAGTCTTTGGCGAAGTTTTTTATCTTCTCTCGGACTCACGTTGCTACTTGCATCACGGTCTGTCAAAACTAAAGAGAAAGTAAACCTTTAGAAGTGAAGGGACGTCAAACCACACGACACATCCTCGTTTACAGGGAACTGCCACCCAGACCAAGCGTCACGGCTGGCTGTCCTGCCCCGCCGCCCCGCCCCCACGCATCTCGGACAGCGGCAGGATGCCCAGCAGCCTCTCCTGCCCTTACGGTCCTCAGTCAGCATCGACCACTGGTTTGTTAACACGGTCACTTATTAAAATTTCCTGATGTCCCTAGCAAAAGAAGGAAAGATACGGAGCCACGGGCGAAGCTTTGCTGACGCGCGGTGAAGCCTGCAGTGGCACGCAGGCAGAAGGAGAGGGTTGCACTGGTCATCAAACGGCAGCTCCTTCCTGCAGTGCATTTTAAGAGAGTTTCAAGCATACATTTGTTCTGATCTAGAGGAAAACAAGTCTTTCAAATGCTTTTGTGAGAAGGAGAGTCTCAAAAGTTCTGCTTTCAGATAAAATTGAATCTGATTTTCTACTAGCTTTTTCAGCTACTTGAGCAGAGACTTCCACCTTCAGCTCTTAAATTCTCCTACCAAAACCCACTTACCTCTAATTTCAAAAAGGGACACGTTTAAGAGGAAATCTACTTTCTGTAAATTACTCTAAACTGCCGTACTAGACCTGACTGCCAGAAGTGCTTCTTCTGCTTCAAAAATAATTCTGCTGTTCCTTCTGAATTCCCCTGTTGTATAAATTGACTTCTCCAAACCTCAGCCTACCAGAACTGCTTGACCAAATTACAGAGGAGGAGTTACCCTCTGGATGCTTCTTTTTTACTAAGCACAGGGCAGACCTTTACTGAAGTAGATTTAATTTTTTCCTGCCCTTGAAACAGTTCTTTAACTTGCCCTCAGCATTGTGCTCGCCTACTCAGGTCAGCTGCCAAGCGTTTTAAAGCGTCTTCACTTCCATGAGGGATGTGCCTTTGTGAAGACACAGCCCAGACTCCTAACTCCTGCTGCTTTTGTGGGGACAGCGGTGACAGTGGCCATGCCCATATCAGATGGGAAAGAAAGCTCTTCCATCCATTTATGTCTCTCACTGGATATTTGGCTTCTCTAATTTTGTGCTTGAGGAAGGAATTGGAATCACATTGAAGATACGCCACATTTTTTAGCAGAGATCTAAGACTACATCTCATGTAACAGTGATTTCTGAGATCAAATCATGTCTGGGAACTGGTGGGAATAGTCAGAGAACAGCTGCACCAACCCAGATTGACTCAGGACATCTGGGCAAAAATCACTTTACAGTCAATCTTCCTTGCTCTCTGCGTAAGAAGGAAGAGGAGCATGTTCACTGGCTGCAGTCCCACTTCCCTTCTTTGTCATTTTCTGTTCCTCCACCAGCGGCATTTCTGAGCATGAGACTTATTTTTACATTCATCTAAGACTTCTGCCAAAGTCTGAATGAAAAGCAGAAGCAGCGTTCTGCAGATTTGACCTAATCTCTGAAAAACAAATGTCCTGAAATCATCAGCTTTCTCACTGGAACTTCTTCAAGCACAACCTACTGTAGATGAACCTAGTGCTCTTCTACTGTGCAGCTGGTCTCAAGGAGTTCAAGTTCAAACAGCTGAAGCCTCTTGCTGCTAGAGCAGAGATGTCAGCGAGGACCACCGACGTAACAGACACTTCAGCCTCCAGCCTACGCCACTGACTTGCAACCCCACAATCTGCTGGCACATGCGTGAAGTTACAGCAGTTACACTGCAGACAACACAGCCAGGTCTAAGCTGGTCCATTTTCTCATAGAATATATTAAAATGTTTTTGGTAGGAATACACATCGAGATGAAACCTGCATTGTTCTGCGTGAATGAATTTTTTGGTTTAATGGATCCCTTATCTCGCTATACCACCAGGTTTGGACGTGGTGTTCTTGTGGTGTTTCTTTGATTTTTCTTTCTAAAGAAAGAGCAGGTCACCTTACCTTGTAACTCTGACGCGTTTTTTTCCAGCTCTTCCGTAGTTGTTTCTTCAGGCTTCTCCAACACAGCTGTCCCTGGCTTCCCATCTATGGTATCTGTCTTAATAGTACCGAGGTTTACCAAAAGTTGCATGACATCAAACTTTTCAGAAACTGCAATGTTCTCCAGCACTTTGAGGCACTTAAATGATTTCAGTTCACTCACGTTTTCCTCAAGAAAGAGGAGGTAAAGGCTTAAGTCATCAAAACACTTTGACTTAAGTTTCAGAACATCGAAAGTTGGCAGGATTTCATACACTTTGAGAATGCCCGAATTCCACCTCCACGGCACAAACATTGCATACACCACCAGCGGCATCACGAGAAGATAGACGATCAGGTTAATATAGCTGAGTACCTTGAACACACCAACAGCAATAAGCTTGCACTGAACCACTTCCGGAACAGTTGTGTCATTCTTTAAGATCCCAGTTTTGATAGTGCAGAGAAACTCATCACTCAAAGAGGAGAGGCTAATGTAGTAGCCCAGGTAAAGGCATGCAATGAAAATGATTACTAGAGTGAGTAAACGGCAGGTAATGTATTTAATTATTAGGCATTTGGAATTCTTCTTCGTCTTCAGGTACTGCTCCACAATTGGGTATTTAAAGTGGCTTTCAGATATTTCCCACAAACTGAAAGAGAGAGAAAAGAAAAACCAAATCACATAGATCAGATGCTGTAGCATTCCCCTGCCTCAAATTTCAAGGAAACCTAGTACTCTAAAGTAGACATCAGATTGGACTCCCTCTTATTGGGGTAAATCATATGTAGTTTTATTGAAGCCAACAGCAAAACAAAAGAACAGCAGACAAATGATGAATACTGACACTTTAATACAGAAAAGATGCTTAAGGGACAAAAGAGCTCAAACACTGGAAAATAGAAAAAAAGTATTGCCCTCAGCAAAAAAATATTTTTCTCCTTTTCCAATACAAAACAGGTATAGTAAGCAAATCCATGAGGAAAAGCAGACTTCCCAAGCACTTGACGGATAATAACACACTGGAAGGCTTTTTACCTGTCAAGACTGAACTCCACATTTTAAAGAGCAGACCTAAGTCCCCAGTGAGTGCTTGTGCCCCCGCGTGCAAAGAGAAACGGCCACCCTGACCGAGGATGAAGCAGAAACTGGATCTGGTTAGATCAGTGCACCAATCTGATCAGAGAGGGGGTTTTTGCTTTTGTTGGGTTTGGGGTTTAGTGTTTATTGGGGGTTTTTTTAGCTTTAAACAGAAGCTTTGCAGACCTAGATCTGGAGGGACGGGAGATGAGTAACAGACTTTGCACACAGCGTGCAAGCAACTGTCAAGAACATTGAGAACTGAGGACTGCAGCCATCCCTGCTTTCTTATGCTGTGGTAGGTAAAACTAATTAACACCTACTACAACTAAAAAGGACACCAGGACATCTCAGCTAATTAGACATCTGAAGAGCTCATCAAATGTTTTCTTTGAAAAAAGAAAGTTACAAGTTTCAGCTCCAAGTTCCCACAGTAATAATTTCAGATATATCCTTTTTTTTAACCAAATTTAAAAGTGTGTCATGTCACCATCCAAACCTTTGCAACACATTTCTAAGAGAGCGCTGGTGTCACATCTGTTAAGAGCCTAAGGAAACGAGCAAAGAAAGCCAAGCCCAAATATCTTACCTCTGGGTCAAGTTCTCAGTAACAGCTGGAAGCAAGTCAGTAGGGTCCCTGGGGTCTCCGCTACGGATGCTATTAGCAGCTTTGATCGCTCTGTTATAGGCTTTGTCGAGTTCTTCCATAATAAATTTTAGGTCTGAAGAAAGGTGAGGTGCTGCAGTGAAGCGCCAGAACAAACATGGTAGATACAGCAGGATAGCGACGAGCAGAAGGATATATGGGAAGAACTGACGGGAGAAAAAATTCAGATTAGGCTCTAGCTGTATATAAAATGTCAGCCAGTCACCATCATTGCTTTTAAGTCTATTAAATCCCCTATAAGCCTATTAAATTCCCTATGATTTTATTCAAATGCTTTTAGTAAAACCCACTTTTGTGGTTACTGGTGCTATGCAGGGAAGCAAATTCTCTTTTCAGGCAGCTCCAGTAACTTTGCCACTGCTTATAGCTTTGCAAAAAAAAAAAAAAAAAAGGCAGAATAAAGTTGCCACGATCCTGATAACATTTCCATTGCATGCTCAGAACTGCACTGCTGGAGCTGAGATAGACAGAAGCAGCATTAACCTGGGGAACACAAACAGCAAAGGCAACCAAAGCAGCTACCAGAGAGGTTGACTGGAAGAAGAGCGTAGTATCACATAACTCTCCCTCCCAAATGTGTCACTACTGTTCATAGCAACTAAAATGCTCCAAACACCGGCAAAATCTCTCCTGCTCTCCATCAGCTGTCAGAAGGTTAATGAATAGACCATTGGTAGTGCTGCATCTGCCTGCACAGACACACGTCTGTTCAGAGTGCCTGACAGACAGCAGGTGTAAAGGATCTAACGATGGTTGTATTATTTAAGGGTATTTAAATATTTTTAGATAACTCCTAAATGGAAACCGACATGTGGCATCAGAATGGTCTGGTGTTACTGCAGCGCTGAGAAGTCAGTCCTTACATTGTCCCCATTGCTTAAGGAAAGGGCTGAAGAGGTATAAAATACAACAGCTTGAAGTCTTCCCACCTTTCTTCTGGTCATCAATGAGTAGGAGTTTTTCACCATTGGATTTAATCTCTAAGTCCCTCCAGCTGCTGGAAAGAAGGCATTTTCTATCTGCTGTGACACTATATTCAAAGTGTACATTCATATATAACATTACTCTTACAGACACATGATGTAAGATCCAGTTAGACAAGCAGTTAGTTAACAAAATGTACTGCAAATTTGGCTAATCTCTAATTCATTACATTCAGCTTTTGATAGTAAACATACTTAACTCACACCCAGCATCAGTTCCTATGGAATTTTAAATTAGTCGTGGTGAACACATTACGAACAGATTTAAGGTATCTTAAACGTTACAGCCATGCACATGTGCACATTCATGGAAAAGGCCAGTGGAGAATTTTTGAGGAAACTTTGAACTCATTAATCAGCACAAGAGGAACAGCTCCACTTTACAGATATAGATATTTAACAAGATGAGAATCTGGACCTAACATAGAATCATAGAATGGTTTGGGTTGGAAGGGACCTTAACGATCATCTACTATTAACATGTTCACTGGTGTTAGCATTAATCAAGACAGATTAAAGTTTTGTATGCACAAAATAAATAATTTGGTGTTACTGAACATTTTATGATGGAAAGCTGCTTCTAATATCACCTACCATTAAAGCAAAACCCTATGTTATTATCAATACTAGGAATGCATATGGCATATGAGAACATAACGAAAATCTGAATTCTTAGAGGAACTGCATCAGCAACTGGAGACTGTAATACGAACCATCATTCTGGATGTGAATGTTCTCTACATGGAGTCACATCAGAGATTTGTGACACACAGAGAGAAGAAGTTATGAAAAGCACCAAATAGCCACAGAAAACAGAGAACGCTGTATTTAAAGGTCAGCTTTCCCTTGCAACTGTTCTTATACATTCATACTTTAACTGTTTCTGCTCAGTAGCAACATCATTGAACTTCATCGAAATTGCTACTTCAGTCTCTAGATAAGTCCTCAAGAAAGAAAACTTCAAGAAAGGCTCAGTTTTAAAACTGGAATAGAAATCCTGCAGGGATGGGCTAACCAGTGACCAGATTGTTTCAGAAACCCAGTTAACAGAGTTGACCACAGTTATACCCTACATCCCACTAGAGGTAGCTCTTCCTCAGCAGCAAGGAACATCAACCCCTACTGCTGTATCACCACTGTGGCCTGTTCCCTGTCCTGACATCACTGGCCAGAACCATCCAGGGCATTCCTTCTGGTCTCCTGGAATTGCTAGGGACTGCCAATCTGACCAGTACTTCCACTGAATCCACACTATCTTCCACACCACTAAACCATGCTTTCTGAATGGACTGTCTATAGTCACCATCAGGAATTTCTTCCCTCCAGAACTCTTATCTAAGGTCCATCATGGCTGCTGGCCTAGATATGGATGGCTGCCTTCT